CCACGTTAGTCTACTTCAATGCATCCAAGCTTCCCTTTGGTTTCGAGAGAGTTCTTCTCAACTTGTTATATATATATATATATTAGGAAAGCAGACGAAAGAAATGGAAAGAGAAACAGCCACAAAAATGTGTGCTGTTGACTCACCCTCAGTTACGGACTAATCGTTGAGCTCACAATTTAACTGATTAGTTTTCAGTATGCACGCCAGTCTGAAACAGTTTTTTTTTCACCAAGAAGCTGGCGCCCTTCAGAAAGCACTTTTAGACGAGTGAGCGCAAATTGGTTGTATGCAAGTAAATCTAAGTCGACTAGGGGCGCTCCAGAAATGAATCATGCATCTAAGAGTAACTCAGGTATTTGTCTCCAAAATATCCCGCAAAGTGCCTGATGTACGATAACGGTAAATTCGCACTGCACTGAAAGTAAGTCTTACGACCTCAGGTCAATGTCACGTGTACTATCGAATAAGATCTGGATATATATTAGTATGAATTCGTTGGTGGCTGAACAGAATGGGACAGAATCACTGAATATCGAATTCCGCATTATTGCTTCCCCACTACACATCCAACATACATCTATTAACTTGAAAGCAAAATAGTTCACTAAAACCTCGTTTGCAGCAGTGACTTCCCGGTTTGACTAGAGCAATGTTTCCCTCCCACCCAGTCGATTGTGGAGTATCTTTCTCCAACAGTCTGTCCTCTTCTCCAACTGAATCAACATGGTAGATTCCCCATTCATTTGTTTACGTCGCCTGCGTACTTGCCCATCTCCCTCAGTTTCGCTCCTCCGTATGCGCTATTCACCATGTCGCCAAGGCCGCGCCATCCGACACTGGTATTTTGGTGTCACCAACCAACCTACATACCCTACGAGTTCGTTCCCCGCTTAGGGGTCTCCTCTTGGGAGGCGGCACGACCGCAACCCAAATTACCGGACCAACATTCCACCATCCGTTTCCTGACATGCAGACTTTGACACTGTGTTTGGTCGGCCAGACTTGTGCACGAAAATGGCTATTTGAAATTTTATCGTGTAACTTTGCCTACTTTTGTGTAAATAGTACTGTGGACTAATTCGGAACTAATTCTTTTTTTGGCATCCAAGGGATCGTCAAACCTACGCGTACCCAAAACATCTAACACTCTGTGGACTCGCTAAAATGTGAATCAACTTAAGTACATATCGCAGTGAGCCTAAGCACGTCTACCTTCTTCGATTAAGTACGTGTGTACTGGAACGCCCAAGTAAGCGTTAATTTCACAGCCTTCTGAGGTCCTCACCGAAGTTACGAACTAGTAACAGGACAAGATTCAAGCCGAAGACGCACATCATGCAGGAATATTTATTCTGTCATGTCTGGTGTAAACAAGACAGATGTCACCGTGGGTTTGTACACACACACACACAAACCGGTATTCGCGAGGAAACGAATCAAGCTAAATGATGTTCTCATCAGGGTAAATATAAAGTAGCAGACTTATCAACACCAATAACGGTAGAACTTACATCAGTATGGCTGCTCTCCCCATTTTGCTGCAAAATTTGAAAAAGTTTACACAAGGTGTTTGAAAATGTGAGGTCAAGAAAAAATTCCACAACCTAGCCTCGGTTCACTTACTCCACGGAATGCATCCCATCGACTAGCTAGCAGAGGAGGAAGGAAATCCACAGGGTAGTTTTATTTCCAGCCGTTATATGGCAGCCCACAAAGGAACTTTCATTCATTTTCTTCATTTTATTTATTTATTTATTCATTTAATTAGTGCTAAAATCTGCAGCACGCGTCTGATGACACGAGCAAAGTAACTATCGTACGTTGTGCAACGCCGAGAGTTTTTCCGTAATAATTATATTATTGATAAAGTATAATATTGTTACACATTATATATATATTANTATAATTATAATATAATACTGATGATATAATACCCAATTAGAAACTACCGATTGTTGACCAGACCTCTCGTGATCGTCCCTTATTTTTTCGTTGTTCACATAGCCTTGTTGTTCACATAGGCTTATCTGCTGTCAGCTTTGGGAATCCTACCAACTGTTGTTAAGTCGCGAACTGCTCATCAGGAAATCAAGGCAACTCCCAGTTGAACCGGGAGTGACATTGCTTTGAACCTCAAGATTTTCTCAACGTCAGCTTCACTTTTGTTTGCTTATGCCAATTTTATGTCTACAGCAATTTGGTTGGAACCTTTAGTGGTATACTCTGTGGTTCTTAAACCGTTTATCGCACAACTCTTGTTTGACACAGCTTGATAGTGGCCCATTTGGCCTTGAAATCTTACTACCTTAATACCTCGTTAATTATTACTATTATTACCTTATTACTTTATGTAATGTATGGAATGTATTCGACGTGTGGGTCTTCAAAAAGAACAACGAGCGATTCTCTGATCGGGGTTTTTCGTGCATACAAGAGTTTCGCAACTGTGAAATATTGGGATCTTCACTCGGTTTGTCGAACTGCGTCTACATATTACGAAATCATCGATAGCAGCAAGTGAACACGCGAAGTCTTGCTTGTAAGCGTTGTGCGGTTTGAAGGAATCACATGTTGGACTGGGGTCATGTTGTTTTTTTTATAACAAATGGAATTTGCAAAGTTCCACTGAAAACGCCATCATTAGAGGTCACTGTAGAGTTGGGAAACGCCTCAACATGTTTTGATAACTCACTGTTTTGTGAGCCACTGAGTAATCTCGGTTCATTTATTGCACATGATATTCCATATCACAGCTCTAAGGCTAGCAGTGTGGTGCTGTTCAACAAAGAAGAGCAGGACACTCCTAGAACACCTACAGAATATAATATCAAACACGAAAATCACAACTGACAGCGTCACTGTAGAGTCGTTTGTGGAATTCTGTCCAGTACTCTTAGGACAACCCTAAGCGAATGAGACTGACCTTCTGTGACTTCAGCGAGGATGATGATATTTGCACTAAAGTGCTTGAAAAGTGCGTTTATCTGAGAAAATGAAAGCCTATATTCGTTTCGGTCGATAATTGGAACCGACTTGTGAGGTAAAGCTGAAGTTGTGTATAAATCACTCATGTCACTTCATGGAAAGACAACCGACCAACCGAAGCAGGTGTATTAATTGCCCTAAGATGTGTGAGAAAGTCCATCAAGGTGGATGGATGGATTAAAGGAATGAAATGAAAAGGAAACGTTCAGAATCAGGTTCCCTATCCGAACATCAGATTCTCCCGTTAATTCAGCAGTGCTGAAAACAGTTTGTCACGCAACCCAGGGCTTCAACAGGGTAAACTGTACGAATAAAGAAAACTGTTTTTCAAGAACAGTGGTCAACAGAGCACTTGCATGCTCGAATCAAACCGTAACGTGACGCACAATGGACGCAAAACAGTGTGATACGACACGACCTAGGAGGTTTCTGGATGTAACGATGTGAAAAGCCGTAGGTAGAAAATGTCGCTTGGTCTTTATAGCGGAACCGAGGCGGTTCCCGAAGGAACTGAGGAGCAAAAGTAAGTAACACTTAAGAGAAACGGTTTGGTCGCGCCTAATGTAATCTTACTCCGAAATGCGTTATGAGAACCGGTTTGGCCGCGCACAATGTAATCTTACTCCGAATTGCGTTATGAAACTTTGAAGGAGTAGTATTAGGGAAGAAAATTTGTGATTGTTAGAAGAATGGTGGTAATTTGTAAGCGGCCATTTCAGCACTGTCTCTGCTGAGTTTGAAGGCAGCGAGCAAGATTTCAAGATAACCGAGGGGTTGACCGACGGTTGGCTCTGATCCCGGTGGTTGAATGGGCCCTCCTACCGCAGACCCACAATTTCCGTATTCCTAATTTGCCAAGGCGCATTCCACTCGGTTGACCGGCCTGTTTTGCTTGACATGCTTGACAACAAGGAATGCCCTGAAAGGTGGCAAACATAATAAACTCTTTGTATTCCCAGACTTCCTGACGTGTGAGATTATACGGCGAGCTCTCTAAAAGCTGCCGTACACAAAGTGATGTCCGTCAGGGGTGCCCCCTATTTCCATTCATGTTTAACTTCTTGAACGATGAAATCACGAGACGAACGCTGGAAGCTCTCCAAAACCTCGATGTTCAAAGAGCCTGTGACGAAAACCTTGACGCTCTGGGATATTCAGGTGACATCGTTCTAATCTTCGAAGAGGAGGAGAAGGTACAGAACTAACCAAAGTCATCCTTTTGTTTGGTATGCACTTTGCGCCCAGAAATTTTAAGGTCGTGCTCCCGGACATGCAGTCACTGAACATGCCACTTAGAATCTAGGGAGAGGCACTGGAAGTTGTAGAGCGTTTTATGCATCTTGGAAGTTGTAGTAGTTCTGAGTGTAGTGTGACGCATGAGGTCAATGCACGAATCAGCTAATTTGGGACACCTGCGGCGTCAAAGTGGTTTATCCCTGAATATCAAGAGACGTATGTATCAAGCTACGGTACGGGCCCTTTTGTCGTATGGCTCTGAGGCTTGGCCTGTTCAAGCAGCGGAACTGAGACGTCTTCAGGTGTTCGGCAGCGTATCCGTAACCAGTCGATTAGATAGCGAGTTTTCGGTTGTTCAACGGGTACGTCCATTGAAGAATGTGCCCAGCATTGAAAACTGCGTTGGTTGGAACATGGAACAGAGAGGTGGCTAACCCTTGTCTGACAGAAAGGTATGAAAGAAATCACGGGACGTTTGGGTGCTGTCGGTGCTACTCGCCTCCCAGGATGGGGACAACGCGATCCACACTGCGCCTGGTTGGAGACGCTGCAAGATATGGCTTCCAACCGATGTCAGTGGCGTTCTTGTTGTCAGTTTCTATCCAGATCGCCTGACTGAATGTCTGGAGGTGTAGGCACCTCGAATTGATTGCAGCAAGCTAGCACTGAGTCTCTTCCTCATTTACCTTTATTCTTTTCGCAATAAGGCCCTTAAATAAATCATGGTTGTAAGGCAGCAAATCATCGGTGTCGAACACCAATGTCATGCTGTCAATGATGATGACGATGGTGACAGTGCACCCTCTTGCCCTAGGCTTTGATGATTGCAGTAATTTTCCCCATTTGCGAGGTGTTTTGTCTGAGAATCTAACTTCCGTGGCTCTATATTTCCTAAAAGACGCAATTCGGAAAGCCGTGGATGAAAATTTCGGTTGTTGCTACTCGTTCTGCATAGAATACCACACATTTTACTCCTGGAATTGCCATTATTTGGAGATTTGTGGGGATATCACCTTCAACCAAATTTTTCCAACTTTCGGCCGCGCTTTGGATTTCACGGTATTTTATCTATGTGAGACCAAGAAGTGCTACCTAACCGTCACATCGGGCCACTACTTGCCATCGCTTTTGGCAGCAGCCCACAGAGGTTTGCTTTATCGGATGACCCATCTTGGTTCCCATCATCCGCACAGTGCTCTTAACTGCAAAACCTTTGCGAGTGGATTAAAACTTTCCACACCAAATGGTTCACTTTGTTGCGTATGCGCTCAAACCAAAAGC